AGCGCCTGGGCTTTGTGGTGAACAGGGAGAAAATTAATAGTTACCCAATGTAACTTAAGTTCTACGAATAGGTGCACGTGATATCCCACTAGCGAAGTCCGCTAAGGGACGTAGCACCATGACGTAGAAGCAGGCTGCAACCGGCTCAGCGCATGATCTATCTCGGCCTGCAGCTAGACTCTGTGACATTCCGTGCTGCATGGTCCGTGGACAGACGGATGAACACTACCCGTCTGCCCAGGGAGGTTCTGGCGGGCCCCAGAGTCCCCGCTCGGCGCCTCAGGTCCCTGCTGGGAATGATGGCGGCGGCTCATGCTGTGGGGCGGCTAGGCCTTCTCCACATGAGGAATTTTCAGAGGTGGTTCTCACGCCTCAGGCCTCACCCCTCCCGGGACGGGGGGAGGCTGATCTGGGTTCCCCAAGTGGCAGCATCGAACATCAGGTTCTGGCTCACTCCGGGTCTATTGCGGGACGGAGTGACTCTGGCCTGCGCCGTGTCTCACGTGGAGGTGTTCACGGACGCGTCGCTCGAAGGATGGGGCGGGGTCCTCGGCCAGAGTTCTGTAGGAGGCTGCTGGTCGGACTCAGCCCGTCACATCAACCTGCTGGAGATGGAGGCAGTGCACAGGGTACTGCTGCACTTTGCTCCTCAGCTGCAGGGGAGACACGTGATGGTGCGCTCAGACAACACCACAGTGGTCTCCTACCTGAACAGGCAGGGGGGCACCAGGTCCCCCGCTCTCCATCGCATGGCGACGGTGACGCTGCTGTGGGCGGCGCTTCACCTCCTGTCTCTCAGGGCGCGCCACGTCCCAGGGGTCCGGAACGTGGGGGCCGACAGGATGTCCAGGGGGGGGCCCACTCCAGGACGAGTGGGGCCTGGCCCCACGGGTAGCTGCGGAGATCTGGCGGAGGTTCGGCCGTCCAGTGGTCGACCTTTTCGCCAGTGCAGAAACGCACAGTGCCCGTCCTGGTTCGCCTCAAGGGCCGCGGACGAGCCGCCTTTAGGCGTGGACGCTCTGGCTCATTACCCCTGGCCAGGGGGCCTGCTGTACGCTTTTCCCACCAGTGCGTCTCCTGCCGGTCCTGCTGCGGAGGATCGAACAGGAGAGGAGGTCGGTGATCCTGGTGGTGCCGGACAGTCCGCATGCCCGGTGGTTCCCCTTCCTGAGGGGCATGGCGGTGATGGAGCTCTGGGCCCTCCCGGACGAGCCGGGGGCTCTAGTCCAGGGGGGAGGAGCCCTGTTTTCACGCCCGATAATCGGCCGCAGGCTCTGGGTTTGGAGGCTGAGAGGCGGAACCTCGTAGACCTGGGTCTTCCCCCTGCGGTGGTGGAGACCACTCAGGGGGCGAGGGCGCCGTCCACTGTAGGGCCTACGCCACGAGGTGGAGGCTCTTCAGCGACTGGTGCGGTTTTTCGTTCCTGGGATCCCAGGCGTTGCCCGCTGGAGGGGGTCCTGGGATTCCTACAGGAGCTCTTTGACAAGGGGAGGGCTGTCGCCACCTTGGCGGTGTTCGCGGCAGCCATTACTTTGGGTCACAACGGATTCGGGGGGTTCACAGCCCGCTCTCATCCGTTGGTTAAACGTTTTCTGCGGGGGGCACGCAGGAGGAGGCCCCCGCTCCAGAGAACGCCCCCGGTTTGGGACCTCAGGGTGGTCCTTAGGGGGCTGTCGGGTCCGCCTTTTGAACCGGCGGCGGAGGCGAGTCCCGAGTGTGTCGCTTAAGACGGCCGTCTTGTTGGCGTTGGCGTCTGCTAAGAGGGCGGGCGTCTTGTGTGCGCTCTCTGTCCATGCGTCTTGCCTGTCCTTTGGAGAGGGCGACGGCATGGTGGTATTGTGGCCCAATCCGGCTTTTCTCCCCAAGGTCATCACGTCGGCCTTTAGGTCGAGAGTCATCAGGATTAGGGCTTTTTATCCGCCACCGCATGCCTCCCCCGAGGAGGAGCGGCGGCACCTTCTGTGTCCTGTCAGAATGCTGAGGCATTACCTGACCATGACGTCGTCATTCAGGTTGGGTGGTCAGCTGTTTGTGTGTCTGGGCCCCAAGAACAGGGGCGCCCCGTTGTCGGCTCAGCGGCTGACGCACTGGGTCGCCACGGCTGTGCGGCGGGCGTATCAGACGCAAGGTCTGGCCCTCCCGGTGGGCTTCAGGTCGCATTCCACGCGTGGGATGGCGGCCTCTACGGCCCTTCTCAGGGGGGTGTCGGTCGAGGACGTCTGCCATGCGGCTTCTTGGGCTTCGTCCTCCTCTTTCGTCCGGTCTTATCTTTGGATGTGTCGGACCGGTCGGTGGCCCATTCCGTGCTGAGTGCAGCGGACTGAGTTAGACCGTTAGGTCCCTCCTCTGAGGGGGCCTTCGGTTTACTTTCCGCCCTGGTTCAGGAGCTCTTGGGAGAGGCATCCTACAGGTGCGGTACATATATGTGTGTTGGTCGGTCAGGTAGTCCACGTCAGGAGCCCTTGGGAGAGGCGTCCTGTGACTACGGATGACCTACATCTGTGTTACGTGGGGGTATCCTTGGTAGGAGTGGCCCTGTAACACGCATTGTTTTTTCTGCCCTGAGTCCTCTCACTGTGTGAGGGTCTTGCTCGGGCGGAGCTCCAATCACCCTTCGCTGGCCTGCTGGGAGTACATGTTCCTACGGCCTCCGCGTTGTGTCCCACTAGCGAAGTCCTAAGGGACGTAGCACCATGACGTAGAATTAATAGTTACCTAATGTAACTTAAGTTCTACGAATAGGTGCGTAGTCCCTTAGCTACGAGCCCATCAGGCCAGCCCGGCTTGGCAGAGTTCAAGAGGGGGTGTGGCCTTGTGCAGGGGCATTTATAGAGGAGGGTGGCTGGTGATTGGAGCAAATTATTTTGATCTCTCTGGCGTGTGACCTGGGGGTCACGAGTGATATCCCACTAGCGAAGTCCTAAGGGACTACGCACCTATTCGTAGAACTTAAGTTACATTAGGTAACTATTAATTATCCATGATTACTGAAGGTGCTTTTTGTCAGCTGTGTTGGCGAGAACTTGGCACAGAATGAGAAATTACATCTTGAAACGCCGCTAGGACTTAGGTCGAGGTAAAGCAGGTCTGTCTGTCTTTTCTGTACTGTAAGTGGACTATGGTTATGGTATGATGCACCTGAACATGTTTTGAACTGTAATTCAGTCACGTGTCAAAATGAATGCTGTCGCTCATTCGGTGGAGCACTGCTTTCAGAAACTCAGGACCAATCAGAGCTGCGCCTGCGGTAGACTGAGACATGTGGGCTCCAAGTGCAATCATTCTCATTTGGGCCGCAGCCTCGACTATAGCCAGGAACAAGATAGGACACTACATCTTTGCAGTATAAAATAAGAGCTTTGGGTTGAGACCTGATCTGCTGAACGAGCGTGGTCCTCTCTTTTTCACTTTTCTGTCTGGGAAAAACTGATCTAAATAAATGACAGATGCCAGAAAATATATACATGTGGAAACTAATGATAAAATGTTTTGAGAACAGAGGAGGAAAGATTTTTTTTACATAAATCAACTACTCCAGCTACTTTCCATCATGTATTCTGAATAAATACATTTCCATTAATACAACTTAACTCATTACCAAGGAAGACACACATTTTATCTGCTAATAGAATAGGATTTTGAGAGAGAACCTTTCCTTTAAAAAAATATATGACCAAAAAAAGTCAGGTTTCAGTTTACCCTTCATATGTGAATTCTGCTCGTGAACTTTCACCATAATCTCAGCTTCACAATAGAAAAAAAAAAGATATTTCTTTCAATTGTGCAGCCCTAGTGCAAGAGACATTTTTAGTCTTTATAGCATCACTGAGATTCCTTTCATCACGATTGTTTTACTTTTCACAAAATGACAAAATTTCCTCTACTCCTCATCCATTGTAACCGTTGAACGACTCTCCCTGGTTATCCTGTGATTACGGCTGCAGTACAGTTATATTACACGTTTATGGTTATTAGCGTATTAAAGCAGCGTGTTTTCCGCTTTGCCTCTGCGCCCCCTGTTCATTAGAGCAGGGGGCGCAATATTGTGTTTTCGCATCTGCATATTCTGCCTGGGCCCACAGTGATAGATGGTCTGTGTTGACGCGCTGCTACATGGAGCGCAGTAATTTATGGATGTCATAAAGGCATAGCACACACATACAGAGGCTACATTGCTGCTGGGGGAGAGCCGAGTAGGAGGGAGCTAATGGAGAAGGAGCGCAGGCATGGGGCGCTAACAGGAAGTCAACAATAATTATATCTGAAACACAATGCAAGTAGAAGTGGGTTGATAATAGCACAACTTAAGAAAATAGAAAAATTACCTGTACATTTTCACACACAAATACATTTTTTTTTTATGCCACAAAGTTTTCTTCTTCATCTAAAACTGCTAAGGAAGCATATATTGAAGTGAAAAAAAATATTGTATCATGCGTTTTCATCATACAATTTTGTGTAAATACTAATACATAGACAACCACAGTATCAATTTCACCAAGGTTTCTCAATAATTACTTGTTTTAGAGATGCAAAAAGTAGGTTAAGAGATCCTTTATTTGTTCCACAGTGGGGAAATTTCAGTGTTGCATCACAATTAAAGAACAGTAGGAATAAGGAGTAAACCACACAGATGGATTAAGTATCCATACTGTATACTTAATCCTCGTGGGGACATTTCTTTTCTGCATTTGACATACCCTGCAATGCCCGTCGGGCCTCTGTTAGGAGCAGTGATCGAGATGCCATAACCTTTTTTACTGTGAGTGCTACCCGCCATTGTGTTTCTTAAGCAGATAATGAGGAGACATGGCGTTAGTACTGACCAATGACCGATCACAAAAAAAGACAGATTCCTAGTCTATTGTGAGGAACAAAAGATTGATGGTAAAAACCTGTGTATTTATTGAGTCAACAGTAGTAGCAGTAGTAACAAAGACGAAGTCAGTAATAGCAGAAGCAGTGAATAGAGAATTAGAAATTGTAGTACGACGTTTTACCTCTACATGTCCGGGTGGTAGTATTGATGTAGTACTGGTGCGCACAGGTCTCATACTGACACTCTCCAAACTGCAGAACTTTGTTTGGGTCCTGACAGGCTGTGCAGGCTCCTGGGATGGAGCACGAAAGGCACTGGGGGTCACAATCTGCACCACACACAGGAGACACACGTTATTATAGCAAAGTTTCTACAAAAACCTCACGAAAACAAATACTAAGATAACAACTAGATCTATAATGCAGTTTTTTCAGCTTAAACAATAATGGATGGGAAGTTATTCAAAAACCCTTACGGGACCATCAACTGACTCTCAACTGACCATCAACTAAATATGACGCATTTTGCCATGAAGTGTAAATCGTCCGACTTCCACCTACGTTTCCTACTCTCGCTTGGTCCTTCGTATGAAGGACTTCTCTTGGCTTGGCCAGAACAGGACACAACAAAAAGGTTGCTGGGGTTAGGATTATTTTAGTCATTTGCACAATGCTAGTTAAAGAGTGTTGCCATGTACTGTACATACTGACTGCGATTTCGGGGCAGGTCCCTAAGGAATAATGAGCTGACGCACACAGATCTCAGAGCACTGCAAGAGTATGGAAACTTTTGCAAGACTCTGGTTTGCTCTGGTCTTCTGTGGGTTTACAGCTGTCCTTGTGAACCCAGTGTACCTGGGTGGTTTTGGACAAAACCAGACCGTCTGGACCCAGTGTATTGCACCAAATGCAGTGACCCGAACCAAAAGCGGAGTTACAGTATGTACACAGGCATTGGTGTGTGCCTGCTTATGTCATTTTTTTTTATATATATATACAGTACAGACCAAAAGTTTGGACACACACTCTCATTCAAAGAGTGCGCTATTTGACCAATAAGGAGAGTGGTGGGGTGCTGGGTCAGATGACCTGGCCTCCACAGTCACCGGAGCTGAACCCAATCCAGATGGTTTTGGGGCTGGACCACAGAGTGAAGGCGAAAGGACCAACAAGTGCTAAGCACCTTTGGGAACTCCTTCAAGACCATTTCAGGTCCACTTGAAGCTCATCAAAAGAATGCCAAGAGGGAGCAGTAATCAGAGCAAAAGATGCTACTTTGAGGAACCCAGATTATAAGACATATTTTCAGTTGTTTCATACTTTTTTTTTTAAGTACGTACATAATTCCACATGAGTTAATTCACAGTTTTGATATATGATTTATATATATATATAAAAAATCCTACATCTTTAAAATTATATATATTTATTATACGGCTCCTCACAGCAGCAGTAGAATGCTCCATTGATTTGAATGTAATTTCAAAACGTTCTACCGGTCATTATTTTCTATAACGGACCTCTCAAAACAATAATGACCGTTGCCCATGGCAACGCAAGATCCTGATCAGATCACTCCGCAAGTAGTCCGGGCACTTCGTCAACGAGCTTTGAGCGACACCGTCTGGCCGAAAACATGAGCGAGTTTAAAGTGGATTTTAATATTTACGGGGAGTATGGAGATTTTGATCACTGGTGGGACGCACAATCTAATTTGCCGTCTCCCAAACGTAAACGAAAACCTCAAGAAGAACAGGAGGAGACGAAAACCTCAAGAAGAACAGGAGGAGAGCAACCAAGAACAACAGGAGGTAGAGAAGACTAACAAGAGGCATAAACACCTAACGGCTGACGATATTAATGAAATAGAGGAAAACCGCCATGAGACAAACACAAAGAAGAGCACAATTTGGGCAATGAAAGTATTCAAAGATTGGATAAAAGAGACCAACAATACGTCTGTTGCGGATAATGCAGATGGGTTGAACACACTTTTGAGAATGTTTTATCCATCCGTGCGTACCAGCGCTGGAGATGTCTACTCTGTGGCAAGTTACACTGCACTGCGTAGCGGAATAAACCGTTATTACAGCCAGTATAACATCCTAAAGAATCAACTATTCAATTCCAGCCACAATATTTATAAATCGGTCATAAAGGCAAATCGGAAGAGTGGCAAAGATACCAGCCAGCATCATCCGCCAATCTCCAGCACTGATTTGAAGAAGATAAAAGATTCTGGTGTCCTCAATTCAAGCACAGCGATTGGCCTTGTGAGAAAAGTATGGTTTGATGTTCAGTTACACCTTGCACGTAGGGGAAGAGAAGGTAACCGGGACCTAACACGAGAGTCGTTTATATTCAAGCAAGATGAAAATGGAAAAGAATTTATCACATTATCCCACAACGCTGACACAAAAAAAATCACAAAAACCCCTTGGATCCGATGCAACAGATATATCGCGGCTGCATTTTTGCTGAGCCAACAAACCCAAATTGTCCAGTTGCAAGCTTTAAATTGTATCTTTCCCTTTGCCCACCGGATTCCACTGCATTCTACCTTCACCCTCTTAGAAAGCCACAGGAAGACCTGAACCAGCAGAACATCTGGTATTCCAGGGAGCCCATGGGACATAACGAACTGGGACAAATGATGCCAAATATTAGCAAGGCAGCGGCACTTTCGAGGCGCTACACCAACCATAGCCTGCGCAGTACAGCTGTGCAGCTATTGTCAAAAGCCGGCCTGCAAACACTGGAGATTATGACGGTTACCGGACACAGATGCGAAACCAGTTTGAAGAGCTACTGGACTCCTACAACATCTGACCGGGAGAAGTGGAGCCAGATCCTTTCTGGTGAGTTGCCTTATTACATTTTTCCCTTCTATCCCGCAAGCCCTGTTCAGCATATTTACGCTAGTGTTATCTATTTCCCTATTTCCAGAGGCGCCCACTACTTCTGTCTCTGCAAGAGAAGCTGGGGGAATCGCTCCTGAGTTTAACGGGAGTAAGGCTTTCAACTTAGCCAGAGATACACCACCATTCCTCATCTCCAACTGCACCTTCAACGGGAATGTCCAGTTTAATGTGAATAAGTAGCTGGATATTACACGCAAAGCCACACTGCCTGCCCGCGGTTGCCGAGCAACGGGAAAACTTTTTGGGACTACTTTATTTGTTGTCATTAAATAAACTTTTGGCATTCATAAAAGTGATCTGAAGTTTATTTTGTGTGTTAAGTTGGTACAAAGCAGTATAGCATACAGCGTCGGGGTCCGCTCCGCCCTGTCGGTACTTATTTTCCGATAATGACCTGTATGCTATACATTATCCCTTACACATATATATATATATATATTATATATATATATATATATATATATATATAATTTTAAAGATGTAGGATTTTTATTCTAACCCTTAACGTTTAATTTGAATTTGTATTTGCAATAATTAATTTGTTTATTAAGACTATGTACAAATATACTAGGCATTAAAGAAAAGAAGCTCAGAAGAAGTAGTGAAAGTGAGAAATTGTCTATCTCTACCCGCAACCTGCCCTATCTGCCACCAAGTTACATGAACTCCCAAATTTATGTGCACTCCCACTGGCTGGGTGTGTATCCACTCCTACAATCTACAGATAGAGCTAGCTTCCCGACTTCCACACCATATGTCTTCTAATATGGTCCACCCTGGCCAATATCAGCAGATCATTCTATCTATCACACACCGCTATCATTCCAAAAGAAAGTAAGTAAGTAATGTTTATTTATACAGCACATTTTATAGACCAAGGTCACCCAAAGCGCTGTACAATGCTTTTAGATTTTTCTTCCAATCATTCCACACAGTGATGATGGAAGCGAGTCACCGAACACACTGGCGCATCAAAGCCCCCAATCAACACCATCTATTCACGCTCTCATTTACATTCATACCTATTGTGCATGTTTTTAATGGTTGGGGAAACCGGAGCACCCAGAGGAAACCTACACAGACACGGGGAGAACATGCAAACTCCACTCAGACAAGACTACATTTAATGGTCACTGCGCATTGTTCCTATTGTTAAGAGATTATCCGGATTTGGGATCATCAATTATCCATGTTATTTTAAAGTGACAATGATAAGTCTATGTGCACATAGACCAATTGCATGCTGGGATTTGAACATGCAGCCTGATGCTATTACTCACCCAGACAATTCCTCTGTGCGTCCTGGTAGAACCCCTGTGGACAGGAAGGAGCGCATTGACCTGACCGTAAAAGAACAAAGGGGGCAGGACAGGAAGAACAGGAGAGTGGCCCCGCCCCACTGCAGGATCCACAGGACGAGTGGCATTCTGAGGAAAAACACCATTTGTAAAAAATGTTAATTAAATAATTACATTGATTACAAGTCCAGACCATTTGGTATTTATCTCCCCATAAGGGAATTATTATGTATCAGGCTATATGGAACAATCATTACAATTCCTATCACACAGAGATTTAATTTTGAGTTTGAATAAATGTTTGTCTCTGCAGCTTAGTTGCATAGCCAAAATTAATTATTTGGAATTTTAATCTTGGGATCTTGGATGACAATTTCAGTAAATTATGGCACTAACAGCGACGTCAGAGGTCAGAGGAGGCGAGTCAGGCAGTGCCTAGTCTGCAAACATGGAACTAACAAAGAATAGAATGGAAACAATATATATATATATATATATATATATATATATATATATATATATATATATATGTATACATGGTCATATTTACCTAGTGATGTGTACTTATACATCTTTGAATTTAAAATAGCTAAATTCTCAAATTGTCTGTGTTCTTGCTGTGAGCCAGGAGCCAGCTGAGCCTCTCTTGGGTGTTGTAAATGCCTCAGGTCAATGCTGGAAATGCTGTTAGAGCAATCATACCGTTTTCACCGGCATTCACCAAAAAGCCTGCTTAGGGCATTTCCAGGTTTGGCCATATTGAATGTGCCACATTATTGGGAGAGCTTGTCCTGGAGCAGGGATGGCAGGATGGTGTTGAAGGCAGAGCTGAAGTCCACGAACAGGACCCTGGCGTAGGTCCCCGGGGAGTCCAGGTGCTGTAGGATGTGGTGGAGGGCCAGGTTGATGCCGTCGTCTACAGATCTGTTGGCTCTGTAGGCGAACTGCAGGGGGTCCAGGAGGGGGGAGGTGAAGGACTTGAGATGGGAGAGGACCAGGCGCTCAAATGACTTCATGACAAGAGACGTCAGTGCCACAGGTCTGTAGTCATTGAGTCCTGTGATCCTGATCTTCTTCGGGACGGGGACGATCATGGAGGACTTGAAGCAGGCCGGGACATGGCAGGACTGCAGAGAGGTGTTGAAAATGTCAGTGAAGACAGGAGTTAGCTCACTGGCGCAGTGTCTCAGAGTGGCCGGAGACACGTGGTCCGGGCCAGGAGCTTTTTGGGGGTGCAGCCTCAAGAAGAGTCTTTTGATATCTTCCGAGGCTATTGTCAGGGTGGGGGCAGAGCTGATGGGTGGCTCGTTAGAGTAATGGGGGAAGGTGTCCGTGGCAGCGTCGAAGCGGCTGAAAAACCTGTTCAGGTCGTTGGCCAGTTTGTGGTTGTCAGCACAGAGGGGGGCTTTGGGCTTGTAGTTGGTGATCTCCCGTAGGCCCCTCCAGACAGAAGCAGTATCGTTGTTACCAAACTGCTCCTGTAGTCGTTCTCTGTGCCGGGACTTGGCTGCTTTCAGTTCTTTCCTGAACGGATATTTAGCCGCCTTGTAGCCGCTGCGGTCCCCCTCCCTGAAAGCAGACTCCTTTGCTTTTCTGAGCTGCCGGAGTTTAGCAGTGAACCAGGGTTTGTCGTTGTTGAAGATGACCCTGGTTCTTGTTGGAATTATGCTATCCTCACAGAAGTGAATATATGACGTCACAGTGTCCGTGTAGTCATCAAAACTGTCTGAGGCAGCTCTGAAAATGTCCCAGTCTGTAGATTCCGCGCATGCGCGCAGCTCTTCCACAGCTTCATCAGACCACACTTTGGAGCTCCTCACTACAGGTTTCGAGAGCTTTAGTCTCTGTCTGTAAGCAGGAACCAGATGGATCATGGAGTGGTCTGAAAGCCCCAGGGCTGCGCGGGGGAGAGCGCGGTAAGCTCCGTGCACAGTAGTGTAACATTGATCCAGAGTGTTCTCCTCTCTGGTCGGGTATTTGATAAACTGTCTGTATTTGGGTAATTCCTGGCTCAAGTTTCCCTTATTAAAACCCCCCAGGATAATAATCAGAGAGTCCGGGTATAAACGTTCCATACACAGTACTTGCTCTGCAAGTGCGCGCTGAGCCTCGCGCGCATCCGCGCATGGCGGTATGTAAACAGAGGCAAGAATGAATGAAACAAACTCACGTGGGGAGTAAAACGGTTTACAATGAATGAGAAGATATTCCAGAGCAGGAGAACAGTGCTTGGAGATCACTGTCACATCGTTACACCAGTTTGTATTGACGTAGAAACACAGCCCTCCGCCTCTGCTCTTCCCTGAGAGCGCACAATGGCGATCTGCGCGAAACAGCTCAAAGCCCTGCAGCTCCAGAGCGCAGTCCGGGATCCGCTCATTTAGCCAGGTCTCAGTGAAGCAGAGGACACAGGATGAGGCGAAGTCCTTGTTTCTTCTCATCAGCAGGCTGAGTTCGTCCATCTTATTTTCCAGAGAGCGAACGTTGGAGAAGAAATTGCCGGGTAGAGACGTGTGCGTGTTCCTCTCCGCCTCAGACGCACAAGCACCCTGCTGCGTTTTCCTCTCTTACGGGTCCTCACTTTTTTGGCTAGAACATGAATTAAATCAGCCGCAGATGCCAAGAAAACAGGCAGTAGGTCAGGCACATGCAGGTCATTCGGCACATGCGTCAAATGCGTAATTTTTTTTAACGTGATGTATGAAAAAATATAGTTAATGCGATAATTTTGACAGCCCTAGTTGATATGCATTTGATTGTGAGGAAGTCAGTGCCTCACCAACCCTCATCCTCACCTTGGGGCCATGAGGAAAGGCGCTCAGATCATAGCTCAGTTACGAACAGAGAAAATACTTAATGTTACATATTTGAACGAGATACTGCTGGATGTAGTCTCTGCGCTGCATTCTGACATAACCCAGGCCACCAACTGAGGTATGCATTGTTATCGGAGCTGAGGAGCTAGAACTACATTATTTTCCATTGTTGTGTAGACACTGTGCACTTAGTATAAGGAGCCAGGCCGTTTTTGCTAATTGCTTTGTAAAGTCTCCGCAGCATCTCCGTCTAAACGGGGCCAAAGAAATTCAGATTATCTTTGTGTGGTGTATAAATGAAGAAAATATGGATGGTAAAAATCACTTGGCCTGCCAACATGTGTGGCCTGCCTTCACCACTGCCTTCGACCCTATCACACTTTGTAGACATTGTGACCTTTTTTCATGGACAGGGCTTAATTGGAAGCAGAGAGTGGTGGTGAGGCCATGTTGAAAAATGGAAGTCAAGCGTTTTCTGATGCCAAAACCAAATACGAGGTACGGACAATGGACTCCAAGCATTGTTTAGAGTCCATTTCTGTGGATTTTGAGCAATTATTTCTTGGGACTATGAACATGTTCTTTCTTTGTCTGCAATGCTCCATAATAACAAAACTGATGCTATGTACTTCAGTGTGATATGGTACAGTATAAAATTCTTTGATGGTTTAACTGCCCAAAAACCTGAATTCTGACAATGATCCATGTTGCTCATTATGTTTTTTCTGCCTTGTGCAATGTACAAATAATAAAACATTTTTTAGACTACCTCTTGTTTACTTCTGCACAACAATAATACTCTACACAAAACAGACTTATTATTGGTATTTTAATTATTAGGTTTTTTCCTTGAGGCTTCTCAAACTCAGTGCACTTTTACAAGGCAATGTCATACTGTAGTTATTTCTAATTAGACTGGATACTAAAAAATCCAAATCATTTCTGACTGAAGCTCCACTGAAGACATTACAATTGATTGTTGAATTCTCTGAAAAGAAAAAAAAAGGTTGTTGTCCTGTTTATATTATAGCTGCAGATGACAGAATATAAGTACATTATAATCAAGATAGCAAACACAAGCCTTTCAAAATGGCTGACAGCAAAGAAACAACAACTGTGCGTAAGCTCTTATTTGTCTTTTCTGTCTTTAATTATATTTGCCAGTGATCTCTCAGACAAATAAGTGCAATATTGTTCAACTTATATCACAGATTCAGACAAGAAATCTGGTGAAAAAGTTGGAGGAGTCAGAGGGGAGCAATGTCAGCGTAGGTGTAGAAAGCTGTGGGGGTGTCAAATCAGCCCTCAAAGGGCAGGTGTAGCTGCAGGTTTGAACTACAACCATTTCCTCAAATCTTCAGGTACAAACTGGACTTACCTGGTGTAGGAGAATAAAAAGGGCTCAAACATGCATGAAAAAAACTACTTTGAGTGCATATATCCATCCATCCAGCGATCCTCTACCCCTTAATCCATTTTTGGGTCGGGTCAGTCAGAGCTGCTCCCAGTACACATAGCACCAGCTCCTTACTGATCCTCCAGCAGGCGGTGAGTCCACAGGGGGACATCTGCTCTAGTCTGAGCTGCCTTGATTTTTCAGCAGGGGCATCGGGCAAAGTGGGGTTAAGTGTCTTGCCCAAGGAAACAACAACAGCAGACATCAATGAGAGTCGTGAAGTAGGTCTCGTGGTGGGCTGAAACACACAAACTTCAGGCCCAAAGGCCAATGCTCTACCACAGGGGTGCTCAATACGTCGATTGCGATTTACCAGTCGATCGCAAAGGTAGTATTGGTAGATCGCATTACATAAAAAAAATTATCCGTCTATGCATTTGCGTGTAGACAGAGATAACCAGAGTTTTTCGTTTTCGCATGCCACAGTATGCCCTCAAAACAACAACAAACAAAACGTACGACCTCTGATCACTGAAGAAGGATCTTACTGCCTTAAAAACTGTTGGCTACTGCGAGCGGTTTGCAGCAACGAACATTCTCGCTCCACATCAGAGAGCAGCAAAGTGATCTCGGGGACTCACGCTCGAAAACAACCAAAACAGGAGCTAAACCAGGGCTGAGGGTCAGTGCTTGTAAACATATGTCTTTATCTTGAGTTACTATGACTGTAAGTGTGACTGCATGATGTGTCTGGATCAAAGCTCCGTCCACTTCTGTGGGTTTTCCCCAACGCAGGACGTCAGAGGACACACATGTTTGGAATGTTATGAATGTGATTGAAAACGCAGATGTTCGGCTATGTGTGGATGCAAATTATTTAATAAATCATGCGGTTGTGCATGTACATCAACATACATTGTAGATATAAAAAATCCTCAATATATTTAGAAATAAATATATGTTTTGCATTTTTGTAGTAGGTAGATCATTTTGACTTGATCATTTTATAACTAGCTCTCATGCTGAAAAAGTGTGAGCACCCCTGCTCTACCAACTGAGCCACGGTCGCACTACTTCGAGTACATACATAAAAAAGGAAAAACCACTACAACATGGTCCATTGATGTGAAAAGTGGGAGATTGTAGCATTGTGGTCGTTTTAGTTAATGACATACATTTTCTATGTTCAAAATAAATGATTGAAAATCAGGGTATGCAGGGAAGGGGCGCTCTTTGGAGGCGGGAGCAAGAGCGAGAGAGCGGAGCGCAAGAAAAACATATCATTCCTTTTGCGGACTGACGTGTATTTTGCATGAGCTTGATGGAAAAACGTATCATGGAAAGATTCACACAGACTTCTGGCTGGACATCAGGACCAATACTGGGAGACAGCTCCTCCATGGGTTTGATCTGCTCCTCCATGGGTTTTATCTGCTCCAAGAATGTATGTAACCGATTTAAACCAAGTAAATTGATGAATTGTTGAAGGCCTAAATTGACACTAAAACTAGTATCGAAAGGAGATACTAATTTGAGCATGTATAAATGTATACTAAATGAAACTACATAGAGAGGACGACATTTATTTGACATTTTAGATATTGCTTATACATTTTAAACCCCCCTCAGAGTTGAAAATGACAGCTTATTATCCAAAAAGAGCATTTAGAAATAATCAATGTGGTATCCAGATTGGTATTGTATATGGAGTATTTTTGTAGTATCAAAATAGAATTTGAAATGTAGTATTGGTACAACACAAGTCCAAAATAGGTCAAAATTAGCCACGTGCGTAAAAGATGCTAACTATAAAACAGACAAACATGAATCAGAGCGAGAAGAGTTTCTTGGACTCACCGACACAGCTGCCGTGTCGGCCAAAGTAGCCCACCGGACACTCCAACACACAGCGGCCTCCCAATAACACAGCCCTTGGCTCCTTACACCACAAACACACACTGCCCCCTGCTGCCCGGAGGTCTGCCGTACAGCGCTGACAGTCCGCACTGCATTCTGGGAAAAACACAGAAACATCACTTACACAAATACAATACATTAAGAACAATTACTTATTTACTTGCAGTAGCATGGGTATCGTTGCTGCTACAACAATAACTGACACTGTGTCTTGATTGTCACTTTTTAATTGCCACTTTTTATTGTACATTATATGCTATATACAGTATATGCTTCATTTAACATGTTTGCACATTTCTTTCTTTTGCACAATCTTGAGTGATTCTATCCATGCCAGATGTGACATGTACATTTCTCCTGTGTGAGATCAATAAAGTCTATCTTGTCATATCTTATCTTAACTGCAGGTGTACTACTGCAATAACAGCTATAACTTTTGACAGCAGCAAAAACATGGCTGAAATGTGTTGGACCTAAGAATATTTACATATTGGCAGATACAGTGGAAGCTAATCAAGTATGCAAAATTTTAAATCTTTTTGTTTGTAACTATATGTTTTACAAACTTTTAGGAAATAAAGCATGGGAGGGTATAGAAAATATATCATAAGGAGAAAGAAGAGTTTGAACAGTCTATTGAAGGGGTGTCCAAACCTTTTTGTAACAGGGCCACTTACATCACCAGACTCCAGGGGCTGACAACACTGGTTGTTTCGACTGGATTTGAGCTGTTCTTGGCTTTAAAATGGGGTATGACATTTTCCATTATGATTTACACCATGGCTACATTAGTGCCATATATGTACTTTCATATTAATAAATCAATCAAATAAAGTTGACACCTGGATTCCACCTGGTTCTGATGTTTTACATCAAGGCTTGTAAACAAGGACTAAACATGGGGAGGCTGCTTTTCAAATTCATGCTGCTAAAATCTAGAACAATCTTCCTGAAGTTGTGAGACAGGCCTCCTCTCTGACAATGTTTAAAACCAGGTTAAAGCTGTGCATACAACTGAGGGATTTTATATTTGTATCATTCTTTTTAATGTACTGTGATGATTTATGATTTTAATGCTCTTACTTTGTTCGGCACTTTGAGTTGCCTTGTGTATGAATTGTGCTATACAAATAAACTTGCCTTTCCTTGTATAATGTGTTCACATTTGTTCATTGAAGCACATAATTCAGCACCAGAAATGCTCCAAATGGAGCAATGGAGGCAGAATCGACACAGACTATTTTGTGTGGAGATTATATTAGTCCTGATATTCCTTAAATCCACATGTCATGTCTGAAGCTTCCATGAACAATGAAAATAATTGTAGGGATTTCAAATCAGTTCTTAACCAACAAATAAGGATTGTATAAAGACAGAATCCCAAAACAATTTCAAACAAACCACAAATCTTTAATTCTATAAATCAGTCCACCTTTTCATTGTGACCTTTAAGAAATTAAAATAATTCATGTATGAAAGTAGGTTACAACTACATAAATAAAACCTTTGTTTAATTAACACCCTTGTTCTCTCATTAGATGCCAATTCAATTCACTGCTTGCCTTGACATAATTTTCACATATAATTACAAGTCATATCGATTTCCCTTGGCCTGTACAAATGGAGGCTTTTATGATCTAAAAATACATAATGATACACACGCAGGGAGAAGAAAAATTAACAAGTGAAAAGATTTGGCATTTCTAAAACGTTATCCGAAAAGACTTAGTTGTTTGGGTTTTAAGATGATGGTGCCTATACTCCCATTCATGCACACTTTTCTCGCTTCTATAGAGCTAATACGGGCAAGATAATATGAAGTCATCTTCCCAACATCTCTGTGTCTAGTTCAAACCCACATCTCTTGAAATTGCATGAGTGGTTCTTTTTAAGGATAAAAAGTAATGGCAGCTGAGGATAATTCACAATTGACAATCAATTCAATTCATTTCAATAAATGTATTCTTGTATAGCACTAAATCACCACAGAAGCTGGCCCCAACCAGCTCTAATGTTTTTTAAATTTGGCCCTCGACAAAATATGAATTTGATACCCCTGCTCTAGTTCATCACCCTTGTGTGACTCCATCCTCAGAACACAACCAAAAGCAGAGGCCCAAAATAACTGTGCTTATTTGACTGAGATCATTCATTAAGGCCTTAAATAACTTTGCAAATACATGTTATGTTTGTATGCCGGTAACTCCTCCCCCTGAGATGTTTAAGGCAGTCCCTTACCAGACCTGTGTCAGACCTGAAATATTAGCATAATAAGGAAACAAGTCTAAAATCTACAACTTTTCCTCATCATGCAAAAGTTTGATATTTTAGACTTATTTCCTTATGATGCCTTTCGGTGCGTCTGAAAGGCGATGTTGACAGTTTGCTTTTAAAGCTGCACTAACTGACTTTGAGAAATTTTCGAATATCAGGGCTGTCCTCGCTCTCTCTGCTCGCCCTCCTTGCACAGAGCTTTCGCCCACCACTACCCCCCTCCCCCTCAGCCTGCGCTCATGTGCTAATTGTATATGGAGCTCACGTCTTACAATATGGATCGTATATTTGAACGTGGATGGCGTGACCATAGAATGATTGAACCGGGAAGCGCGGAGGAACGAGACTTTCTTTTGGATGGCTGTTTTGCTGTGTAAGCAGAAGCAGGTAACGAAGACACGGGAAGTTTCAGGTTAGCCTCCGCTGCTTGTTTACCTCAGCTGTCTGTGCTAACGAGAGACCTGTGGCTTTTCTCAAGAAAGCGGGGGCCAGTGGTCCGCTGTGATTGGTCACAATCTGGACCCAAAACACATTCTCTTCCTTGTTGGACCAAAACTCGATGTAAAATAAAATGACACGCCAGCACAAATCTGCGCTACTTTTTCTTCAAAAAGACGGATATCCCAATGCATTGCATGGATATGGATTGAATTTTCATAATGAATACAAAAATAAAGTCAGGTAATGCAGCTTTAAGATGTGGGTTTGAGATTTTCGCATAATTCTTTTTCTAAAAGATTCTTTAGAAAGTTTAGGTAGTTATTTTATATAACTGTAGTCCGTCATGAGGGCACGGTGAAAGCAACAATATTAGTATAACCTGTGAAATGAAAACACGATTCTTGCATCCTTTTTGTCCCTCATCCACCAATGTATTTCAAGATGGCGCATTGACATGGAGAGGAGTCCTCTCTCATATAAATGTATAATTCAGATTCAATGGTGTAAGTAAATATTCTTAAAAAGGTCACATTTGCTATTGGTTAACATGTTTTTTCATTTGGACCATCTGTAAGAATTAACCCTGTGTAATTTTGTGTGTGTAAATAGACAAAACATAATATACATAATACATAAATTCACACATTTTTATACTTGAATTGATACAGAATATGGTATGTCATCAGCAATGTCTTGAACTGAAGCTAGCTATAAAGCCTGAATGGTCAAACTTTACATCTGAATAATTGGTTTGGCATGAGAAAAAGAATTTTCATCCCACAAATCAATCCTCATATCCTCAGTGTATTGCAGAAAGGCAAAGAATGAATGCATGAGAATAAATAACTTTTATAAGCCAGGATTAACTGACTCTGAAATATAAGAGCGACTATAATGTCATACAGATGAACATTCAATGCAGTAGCATCCCCATGGTGACAAGTCACACCCATTATCTGCTCAAAAAGTTAGGTAGTTCTCTGTTCAAAAATGCGTATTGGTATTCGTCATTTAACTTTTATGCAACGGTGAAAGAGACAAAAGTAAAATGATAGATTATTCCTCTCTCCCTCTTGCAAAGCATTGAAGTGAAAAAGCCTAAACCGCAGCGGTGTTAGCCTCTCCTGCTCGCTCCGATAGTGAAGGAATACTCATCCCCTGCTCCTATCTGATTGTGTGGGTCCATTGTTTACTCTGGATGTTTCTCACACAAAGGGTTTGTTTGGGGAGTTCTGAGGAAGCAGTGCGAGTGTTGCCTCGGGTGCTAAAGCTAAAAACAATACTTTACCCATTCGGCAGCTCTGATATGACTCCTACACAACGCGGCCGGAGACAAGAGACTTATGACTCGACTTGAATCAGCACATGGTGCAGAGTAGCTTACTGAAGGATTTTCTACAGAGGTCTTTTTGCCAGGCTAATATCAACACAACAAGTGACAAAGTGCAGAGTATGTGTAAAATACATACTGGAACCACCATGTTTCTTGAGCTATTATTAATTTATCATGATGAAAATGAAAAGCAGTTCATTGGATGATCTGGTTTTATGGTATTGCGTCACTGTTAGTGTAAAGTACCTACAATAAGGAATAATTATATTGTGTTTGGAATTATAAGGCTGCAGTATCTCCTATACCTACACATGGCAAAAGTGCTCTCATTATTTTGTAGAGGTTGCTCCATTATAACTTGGGAGGTTAAGTAGTGCAGTCTTTTTACCAATTCAAGATATAATATGGGCCATTTTGTATTTTTTGCGACAGAAATAACTGCAGCTTTTGAATTGTCATGATTTTATAAAATAAACATTTTGGCAGGATTGCCCTCAATGAGCTGAACAATGCACAATGACATTACTATTGTGTATTTTGCATTAAGCTACCATTAGACAAAGAGAATGCATTAGTGCATACAGTTTGAACACACAGTAGAGATGGACAAAACATTTTAAATGAGAAGAAAAACAGGAAAAGAAAAACTTACACCTGCTCTGATCTGACCAATGCAGAAAGCTATTGTTCAAATTCTATATCTATATCAATTGAATATTTTCTTATTAAGGTCTGGGCAGCCTTAGATGACATCACACAGGATTTAAACAAACACAGTCATAAACTATGAGCCACACTTCAAAAACATATCTGGAGTTAAGATAATTTCTGTGCTGTGATCTGATTTCCAAGCTATATATGAATAGCTTATTATTCTGTTTGCATTTACCTCATCTTCACATTGTTTGTTCACAGGGCAACCAGCACTGAACTTTCTGTAATAAGTAAAATGCATATTGCATCTGGTTTGTGTTTTTGTAACTTGTTAAGACCCAATGCCCCAAAACAAGGCCAGATGCTGCAAGCACTACAGCCCCTAACTCCTGAG